TTTATTTTATTTTTGTCTTTTTCGTGACCGGTAAGGGGATCGCAACCCTTAGTGTGGTGTCGCCCACACCGTGCTAAGCCAGTGAGCGCACCGGCCATTCCTATATAGGATCCGAACCCACGGCGGGAGCTCGCTGTGCTCCCAGCGCCGCACTCTCCCAAGTGCGCCACGGGGTCGGCCCTTATTTTTTAACTTTTAACTTAGTTTTTTACTTTGTCACTTTCATGTCTCCAAAGATAGTAGTTCATTCAGCCTTTTGTATTTTAGTTCCCATGGGTTAGAACATTCTTTGATTCTTAAGAAATCTTTTAGATAACAAAATGGTACAAATATCTGTACTCTGTTTTCCTTCTGAAATTGCCAAAAGTTCCTGAAAAATAAATAGATCATTTTAGAAATGTCCTACTGATCTAGGGATTCAAACTTCCTATGTCAGGCTATTTAAAGCTTAGTGTGCCTTCCCCCACCTCATCCCCCAATTGGGGGCTGCTCGGAGAATTAGAAAAGACTATAAAAAATTCTCTGTACACGTTATGCCCAGCAAATTCACCTCATCTGTCAGCTGTAGTCGCATGAACCCCATGTTACTGTGCTAAATGCTTGGTTTCAGTCATTTGTGGTTGTGATGTTATAAGTGCAAAATTGGCCTGAGATGAGTATACCTGGCTGTTCAAGCCACCCAGTTGTGAACAGCAGTGTATGCTTATCCCTAAGGCTGTGGTGTGGGGACTTGGGATCTTCATCTTCATATATGTTCTGATACTTTGTCACTAGGACATCATCATTACAGACCCATAACCTTGGTTCCACATCTTGGAGGCGCCTCGTGGTTTGCCCTTATTTACCATCTATAGGAAGCTAACTGCCTCCCTTGCCCCTCTTGTCCCCTCTTGCATTAATATCAGATATCATTCTCTGCTGGAACTGGGTGAGAAGCGTAAAGGCATGTTGGAGAAGAGTTGTAAGAAATTTATGTTGTTCCGTGAAGCGAATGAGCTGCAGCAGTGGATCAACGAGAAGGAAGCTGCTCTGACAAGCGAGGAGGTGGGCGCAGACCTGGAGCAGGTGGAGGTGCTGCAGAAGAAGTTTGATGACTTCCAGAAGGTACGGGGAGTCTTGTAGCTGAGCTGAGAAATTGTCTAAAGACTCGGTTATTTTGATTTCTGATTGCAGATTACTGGAATGAAAATTACATGGATTATATTCCATCATCTGTGTAGGTTATAATCCACCATCTGTGTAGCTAAATAGTTTTAATCGAAACTTTTCTTAGACCAGTTTAGTTTCAAGGAAAAAAATGCTGTTTCCTCTACATGTAACTTTAAGAACTTTTCTAAACTTAAGATACAAAAAGTTCGGGGCCAGGGCCGGCCCGGTGGCGCACTGGATAGTGCGCCGCTTGGGAAGCACGGCGGCGCTCCC